TCTTTGGAACTTAGAATTATGTTGGAGAGTGAGGGGTGTGTTACAGAGTCAGATGCTCTCTAGTGCTTCCTTATATAAATGTGTGAATTAGCCAGTATCCACTGAGTCAGCTCTAAGAATGTGTGTGTAGTTAAAGTGAGTGTTTCAGTAAAAGCTGCTGCCTTACCAAACACTTGATACAGGAACTCTAGGTTCTACCTCAATAGCCAGTCGGTATAGGTCCCTAACACACTCTGACTTTGTATTACAGTGGCTTTAACACATTGGTTCTTCAAGTGTGGTCCAGAGGACATCAGCAGCTCCTGGGAACCTGTATGAATGTCAGCTCTCAGGCAATATCCTAGAAATACTGAATCAGGAACTCTAGGGTGGTGTCCAATAATCTACTTAAAGGGATCCTTCAGGAGATTTTGATCTTGCTCAAACTTGAGAATCACTGATGCTTTGAGAAAATGTTCGGAACCCTGACTGACATTAGAATGATCTAGGAAGCTTTAAATATCTAGTCACTTCATTCTTGTTCTGAGTTTTTATTGAACTGATTTGGTGTATAACTTGGACATCAGGACTTTTCAAAGCTCCTCAGAGGACTTCCAGATGCATCCCAAGGTGGAAATTACTGTTCCCAGGAGTCTGTTGAAACTCAAACATACTCCTATCTCCTGAGTGGTGAGATGAGGAGTGAGAGGTGTGTAGAGGTTGACAGAACTCACAAGTAAACTGCAGCAACCATTAAGTCCTGCCTCCCCTTGGGGAATGTGACCTTAAGCTACCAACCTTTGATAAGGCTTTCTAAAGACTCCATGAATGTTCACTTAATGTGATTTGTTCTAAAGGTTGCTTTTAATGCTATATTTGTTCAGCAAATGTAGGCACTCGTATAGCACAAATATTAACTCCTAAATCCTCAAAGGCTTTCCCCACGATATGCCATCTGGCAGGCATTATTGTAATCATCTCTTTATTATCCACACTAATGAAGGACTAGCATGGCATTGGTAATTGAAAAACACAGATCATTTAAAAATCATTCAGGCTAAAGCCGGCACTGCTTCTCTAACTAGGAAGCATTCAGGAGTAGAAAATATTGACTGATTACAGTTTCCCACCTTCCCTGTAGAGGTACTAATACATTTTAGTCAGAAACTTGAGCAATAGAAGTGAGGGTTTCTAAGCTATAATTCTTCTTCTTCTTCTTGTTTTTGTAAAACAGGAGTCTGTTTTGTTGGAGAGAGGTAGATGAACAGCAAGGATACTTAAATGCATTTGTACACTGGAGAGTGGGTTCAAAAAATGGTGTGGTACAGGGTTCCAGGAATTGATAGATCTGCAATCTACGTCTCCCCATATTTCCCTGTTATTTGAGATGAGCTATTCAATCCTCAATGGGTCTCAAAATGTCTCCAAATAGCAGTTTCCACATCACCTGGGAATCTGTTGTAATGCAGATTTTCAGACACCACCCCAGACCTCCTGAATGAGATTCTGTAGGTGAGGCCAGCAAATGGTACTTTAACAAGCTCTCCAGAATGTTCCCATTCCCAGTAATGCATTGAACACTACTGTTTCCCATCAGGTGTTTAGTTTCCATGTCTATGACATAAGACACCCAGTCTAGGTTCTGGTTGAAGTTCAAACTCTTGCTTTCCAGTAACCTTAGTATATGGGCCTGGAACAGAAAGAAAAATTTTCTGTCTTGGGTCTTGAACTTTCCTTGAAATAATATATGTGATTGAAATAATACAGCTGAAATAATATCATGTGAATAACAAAAAAGAAACACATCTCAATACCCAAACCCCCAAAAGAGTGTTCACTATAGAATAAGTCCTGCTTTCTTCAGCTGGTTGATACCATACCCCAAAGTGGAAAACCCTGACACTTAGGGAAGGCAGCCGATCCCCCTTTCTCTAGGGACTGAGAGCTGTCTGATGTGATTCACAGAACAGCACTTCTACAGGAACCAACAAATGGTGTTTCAGAAAGATGTACAGAGCTACACAGGCTTTGCAGTAAAACAAGGGAAAATTTCAAGCCATTTATCACAGCTCTTGCAGCTTCCTTTCGAGACAGGTGAAAAAAAATAACAGGGAACAAGAAAAGAAAATAAATTTGTTTCCAGAATTTCTCATAAATAAAAAAAGAATGTGGGATTGTTGGCCTTGCTGGATTCTCAGAATATTTTTGTCACAATACAGAAAGCTTTCAAATGTTTTGCTATGGAACCCTTATACTTTTCCAGTTATCAAAATCTGTGGTTATAAAATTATTTCCTCGCCTATTAGAATCAAAGAAGAAAAAAGAGACAATCCTTTCAAGGAGATAGTGGCTGGAAAAATGACACTTGACATTAAGAAAACAAGAGAGAGCATGAGAAAAATTAACACAGATTCCCCACAACTATCAAAATTTTTTCATATAAAATACATGTTTTAAAGCATTGGACAAAGTCATAGAAAATCAAAGACAATTTTCTAACTGGCTTGTTTAACAACCCTCCCCCCTTTTTTGGTAAAGACAATAGAACATGGTTTATTACACATGAGAGAGACTTTAGTCTTCTATATCTGTGAAGGGTGGAGAAACTATAGCTTTTATTACAAAGGATGACTCACAGGCCTACTTTGCCTGAAAGAAGAATGCTGACTGAGGAGAAAAACACAATAATCAAAGCTGTGTATTGTAAATTTTTATTAAATTCTCAGGAATGTCAGTTTGAGCATCAGTTTGATGCTAAAATCCTGCTTAAAAGCATGTAATCTGAGTTCAGATTCTGACTCTGTCACTCACTGGCTCTGCAATTTTGGGCAAGCCACAAATGCTCAGTTTCCTTTTTGTCAAAGGAGGATGGTAATAAAGCCTACCTTGTGAGTAAGAGTTAGCATATGCCAGGTGCTTTGCCTGGCACAGGCGAGTGCTATTTTATTGGGAATATTTGCTACTTAGTCATATGGTTCATTAAAGAGCTCTAAAAATAAATTATATTGTTTCATAACTGTTAAAACTTTGAAAATGGTTTATCCCCCACATGTGCCTAAGGGGAAGATGGTTGACAGAAGCTCATAGGAGCACAATTCAGAGGAGACTGATAACTCTTGAGCCTTGAGCACCTTTCTCTTTGTCAGCACATAACTAACTAGTTAATTTCTAGTTAATTTGGGGGTTGCCAGAACTAGATTCAGGAAAACTATTTTTTGTCATTTAATTTCCTTTCCATGCACTTATTTTAGGAATAGACTCAGAGACTAATGCTAGAAATAGTTTTTCTCCTTTACACTCAGCACACTCTCCTTTGTTGGCTGGGCCATGCTGCATCAAAGCTAGTATTTGCCAGCCTACATTTTTCTCAAATAAATTTTTTTCAGACTTTATAAAGTGTACATGCTAGCAGTGCAAAAATAAATGCATTTCAACTTACAAACTAGTGATAAGGGGGAAAAGGAGAAACAAAAGCATGGATTTTCTGAGCAAGATTTTTCCTTTTTTTGTCAAATCTAAGAGGAGGCCTGCGTAAGCTTATCTGATCTGATTGCAGATCCCTCCTCAGTCTAATGGAGAGAGATAGCAAGAGCACACATTTCTTGGGGTGTTATGAGACTCAAATGACACAAAACTTATTAGATGCAAACCAAAGCTTGCTCTTTTGAAGAACTCAACAAATACTAACTTTTTTATGTTACTTGTGTTCATGAAAGTCTAACATATCAAACTAATGTAATGGGGTAAGTTATAACAACCTCTTCTAAACCCCTGAAAGTACTGTAAAAGCTCTAGTTGCAAGTCAGTTTCTTCTAGACTAAATCTCTGATTATTTCCAGCAGTTTTATTTTTTAAGTACCTTACTGCTTTGAATTCAGGCTGACCCTCATACACCAATGACAAACTGTGGAATTCTAGCAGGCAGGCAGCACTATAGCCTTATAATTTTAGGTGCTACTTACTAGCTCATAAAAACTCTTTCAAGTCAGCTGGAAGACACAGTTTAGAGTTACTTTTGAATATTGTAGAAAGGTATGGATTGCTTGAACTTTGAATAAATAAACAAGAAGATCTTCCCATACTTGAATTAGGAAAAATTTCTGTAACTCAATTTCCCTGGCAAAACAGAGTTCAAGGTGTTCTTGAGAAGTATTTAGAAGAAAGAAAACAAAAGATAGATAGCACCATACAAATTGCCTATATTATGAGGTAAAAACAGTTTTCTCTACTATCACCTTAAATTTTCTTCTTCCTCTATTTAATATGGAAAAAAAAATCAATTCCTGTAATTCTGTTATCCTTTACATCTAAATTTTAAGGACAAAACTTGGTCTTCACTTCGTAATATAGAAGAACAGTTTTCTGCTCTGAATAAGAAGCTTAGTGTTTACTGGGTGATCTGAAGTAAGTGGAGAATATAGGATATTTCAGTCTTAACATAACTATTCTTCAGTCTTTGTGATCCTAAGTGTTTTATGTTGTGATCACACCTTTCACACTCCCTGAAAGCAGGTGGATGAATTCTGGACATCAAATGTCTGTGCTCAGAAGGCTGAAAACTCTGTAGCCTTGGGCTGTTCATAGAATCCATGGACACAGGTGGCCATACCTAACTCTCACATGAGAATGTGAAATTAAAGTGCTAGCCATGAGTTAAATGCTGAGGTGTTGCTTTGTGAAGGTCTACTTACCAAATACTGTTGGTTCCACTATTAGACAGCCCCCCAAAATAGAGTTTTTACATTGCTTTATTTTTATTACAATGTTAGAGCTCTGTGTTTTCATCTTCTGTTGAATTTTCTAACCCCAGGAATAAAAGCTGGTTTCCTGCACATAAGGGTCCCAGAAAGAAGTCTCTATGGCCACTCAGATAGGGCATTCATGGAGATAGAAAATTTCATCCTACTTGATTATATGGCACTTGTCTTGTGATACTTCAGTCTTGAGGGAAACAGACCTTTGGTGGTTGGTGAAATCTGCTGAAGAAATAATCTGATCAAACATTTTGTTTTAATTCACAGAATCATGTTAACCCTGCCATGGACTTTACCCAGACACCTCCTGGGATGCTAGCACTGGACAACATGCTGTATTTTGCCAAGAACCACCAGGATGCCTACATCCGGGTAAGCATACAGCCATTTTCAGCTATTATAAATTCCCTTATGAATTTTAATTCCAAACTCATAGACATGGAAGATTACCTTTAGGTGAATGGTCCCAAATCTTTGGCTTCTACCCCTTAATAATGTGAAAATTAAGAATAAGTAAAATCAACTAGAGGCTCTGAATATGGATTTTTATTTAAAAAAAAATTCACATGATGACTTTAGTGTTGTTTTGGAAAAAATTGATAGCTCAATATTGAATTATGAAGAAACTTTTCAAGTTAAGTGACTTAAGGAAGAGCAACTGAACTATCTGCCTAATTCCTACATGACCTCCACTTCGATGGAGATACCTTAGACTTAACCTCTTAGACTTAACTGAAGGAGGCTCTGTTGTCTTCTGGCATATTTTCTGTTCAGTCTTTGCTGGATATACAATAAGGACAATAAAAGGAGACAGAAGAATAGGATAGATGGAAAACAGAAACCTGAAAAAAGAAATCTCATTTCTTCAAAGACTAGTGAACCACATATTATACTAACTTGGATTAGCTTGTGGGTGGGGCAGAAGGAAAACAGAAGATACCACTGGGCAGTACAGATGTGGGAAGGACAGAGTGAATGATGAAGAGAATAAGGACAGTGACATAAAAGGCATGCACATCAGGATTGTGCCTCTGCAGCCCCTGGGCTTATGCTGATACCTGTGCCCGGTCCTGGGGGAGAGATGCCCCAGTTCCATCAGGGTAAGGTCTACCAATTTAAGATCATGATAGGGGAGGGATGTGAATAAAGGGGCAATGGAATTGGCAAGGGGTTAAAATATCTGGTGAATTAATTGCCTAAAGCTGAGATAGGATGAAATTAGGAAGAAAAAAAAAAAAAGGAGACTGTTACTCTTACTTTGTCTGTTAGATCCCTAGGTGATACATTCTGGAGCCTAAGGTCTGAAATCTGGCACTTCTGTTTTCTAGTGGTATAAAATGGAGACATTTGCTTTTTGTCGGTTAGTTCCTTCTGGTAATTATGGAGACCTGTATTTCCTAGATGGGACAATAGTCCCTCAAGGGGATTTTGGGAAGGTATGGGTGTGTCTTTAGTAGTTATCATGTGACTTTGGGTGCCACTGGCCCAAATCTGTAATACACAATATAGTCTGCACAATAAAAAATTGTTCTACCCAGGATGGCCCCTTAAAAAAATCATGCCAGGTCTCTGACTTCTCTGTAGAAATTAATTTTAACTTTGTGTTTTTCTTACATACAATTTGAAAGTTTTAACTTACAATGGAATATCATTTACAATTTGATTATATAGAGGGTTTTATGCATTTTTCTTAAAGGTTTCGTATCAGGTGCTTCATCAGAAATGTCATCTTCCATAAGAAAATTGTTTTTTCATAAAAGTTTCATTTGGCTTTGATGTGTATATAGTTATTGCATGGATTTTTCCCCCCCTAGGGATGTAATCAGCTGTCCCAGTAAATAAATTCTTTTTGAGCTACCACATAGTACAGCTTTAATGAATAGAGTGTAAAAAGAAAAAGCCAAGTAGAAATTGAATTTATCATTAACTGATTAACTCCATGGGTGAATGTTTCTAAAATTAGAGCTTATTGATGTTGAATGTATTGTCAATTGCTTAAGAAGCATATGTCTCATGAACAGTAATTTAATGTTTTAAGCACATTTTCTTCAACACATTCTCTAAACTGTTATACGTGAAATTTAAACCATGGCAACCTGACACAACTTTATATCAGATAGCATTTTAAAAAGAAAATATAATTGGAAAGAGAAGTGTGACCTTTTTAACCATGTGCACTTTTTTTTTTAACTAGAGATTCTTAAAACAACTCTTTTCTCAAAAAAAGTCTCTTTTATTCATTTTTGCTGAGTCTCATCTGACTTTGGGACACTGACTATGGTATAGAAAGCAAAAGCTATTTTTGTGAGTGAATGGGGTTAGCAGATTGTGTGTAAAACCTGAGGCATTCAGGCAAGGATGTTTTGTGATGTGTGCATTTACTGAGCAACTATCACATGCTCAGTGTGAGCTAGTGATGGAAAATAAAGAATAAGCCACCCCTGAACATGTCATTCAGGAGTTTAGTGTTTATGGATGCAAGGGAGGAGTGGGAAACATGTGAATCAATAAATTCGAGCTGCTTTCCAAGTCATTTGGAATGCATTTGGATTGGGCAGAGGGATATTGGGGACACAGCGGAGAGTTCCCAGTGCAGATGTGGAGGTCAGGTCAGGAAAGCTTCCTGGAGGAAGTGGTACCTACACTGAGAGGTCCAGACAATACTGGTAAATCAAGCAAAGGAGAGAGTTCATGGAAGAGGGTGCCAGGTAAAGGAGAAGAGGAGGGCCAAAAGGCAAAGTCTGTGCTTTGTTCCTGCAACCAAACATGCAGCTAAAACAGGGAATGGTTATATGATCATGAGTTGAGAGGGAACCATTGGTTAATTCTTTAGGGACTTACAGACCATATTATTGAGGTAATTGCTGTACTTTAATTTAAAGGCAGTGAAGAATTTCTTAACTGCTTAAAGTCAATGAGAGTTAATTTTAGAAAATGTCCTCTCTTGCCAAAAAATATATGTAAGAAATCAAGATTGGAGACAAAAATAAATTTGGGAAATCAAAGAGAAACACCGGCAACTTGAACTAGGGTAGAAACCATGCTATTGGGGAAAAGCAGCTTGAATGGGTTGTCTTCGGGCTAAGGTGAACTGACTCTCTCTGAGGCAGATTTGCTGGCTGAGCTAATGGGTCTATGGCAATGTCATTAATGAAGTAGATATTGTAGGTCTTTGAGGGGAGTCATTGGAGACCTCTAGACTCTTTTATGTATGTGGGACTGAGTCCAGGTGGTCCTGCCTAGTCGACAGTAGGATATGGCAACAGAGTTCAAATCCAGGGAGACACCACATCTATATTTTACTTCTTTAAATGTATGCATTTCCATCTACCTGGATTGTCTAGATTTGTTTGTAATATTGTTTGTCTGAATTGTTGTAATACTATATTAGTGGCCTCTATGCCCAAGTCTTGTACCCTCAGTGCACATTTCATATGTGTTGCTGGGATGATATTTCTGCACAGAATTCAGCACACTTCAAGGGACCTCTTTGACCCATAAGCTATCCATGTGGTATCTTCTGGATCCTAGGTTTAATAATTTCCTGTGAATTGAATAGAGTTTTTTTTTTAAAAAGATTTCTTTATTTATGCATACAGAACTGGGGTACAGGCCAGAGGTTCAGGGGCACTGAGAGGATTCATCAGATAGAGTGGGGAGCAGAACAGACCAACTGACAAAGCACACTGCTGAGGGGAGCAGCGGGCGGGTCAGGAGAGGTCTGTCGCACCATCCATGTGGTACTGTGTTTTAACCACTGCACCACCAGGGAGTGCCCTTTATTAGTTTTTTATCAATAGTTTCTTGCCAAGGATCAGTTCTTGTTTTGTCACCTGAGGGTCATTCCTTCCTCTTAACAATTCTATAGATGTTTATTTTGCAACATGAATTGATTGATAAGAGCCTGGTTTCTCATGCAATACTTGAATGATCTCTGTATGCAACATGAATTGATTGATAAGAGCCTGGTTTCTCATGCAATACTTGAATGATCTCTGTAACTAATGAAAGCAGGATATAATTGAATTACTCCATGCTTGGACAGCACATAACATGAGGAAGAATTAAGAATCTGAGCATCCCTCTGTCTGGAGTAAAGTCTGGGGGCATGCATAGAATGAGTTTGACTTCTGGGTCTTATTTACTCTGGGCATAATTGCTCCTACTTTTTCTGGATATGCTTTACTTCGTACTACTCTCCACCAGAGCTCTGCCTGTGAGAAGTAGATGGAGGGTGCTTGGCTCACTCCCATGATCCTGTTGTCAATATTTTCCAGACAGAAGAGCTGTGCATGTTGTTTTTTGTTTGTTTGTCTGTTTCCTTTTTTTGTTTTGCTTTTTTTCTGCGTGAATGATAATTCTCCATGTCTGAGAATAAATAAATTTAGTGAGTTCATTAGAATTATTAAACCTTTGAATTTAGAACACATTTTCTTGGTTTATTAAAAATTCACTGGAACCTACTGAGAAACACATAAAACTTGGTTTTTACCTGGGTTAAGATTTCTTCTGGCTATTGTGGGAACCAGGGATCAGTCACAAAACAGTAAGTATTACTGAGAAAATATGAGGTTCCCAAACTGATGGCCAGGTGTGAGGTGGAAAGGAGCATTAAAAATAACTCAGGAGGGCCCTCCCTGGTGGCACAGTGGGTTAAAGCACAGCACTAAGAAGGTTAAGCCACTTCAGCATGAGTTAAAGCCCCACCTGCCCCGGAGGTTACCCACATGGCATGGCAGACCTCTCCTGACACGCCCGCTGCTCCCCTCAGCAGTGTACTTC